CCATCACTTTTCTAATGGTTCGCCCCTTAAATGAAGCTTAAAATCGAAGAACATCAGACGATAGTCGATCACTTGAAAGGTTCAAAGGGTTTTGCTGAAACGCATGATAAACTATACCAACGTTTTCTGAAGTGTTTGTTAGGCCAGATAAGGTATACAAGATATTGTTTAGTCTATAGTGGGATACATATTCATTTGGTGCAAAAAAAGTCGAAGGACAACATAGATTTTTGCCGGTGGCGTTGGAGCGCCATGATCCTACGCCTAATCAACTCCAGGCAAAGCGGAATCATTCATGTAATATGAAGTGTCACGTCGAAGTTCCATGTATACAGCTATGCGGAAAAGTCGAATACGAGCGCGAAAGGCTGGGAATCTCTAATAAATTAATAATTCTGTATGCATATGAAGTACCACGTTGTCTCCGTTACTGAGTATCACACATGCACATATTTAATAAGCATAACAACTTACTTGTTCGAGCAACGTGGCGAAGTCGGAGCTTGAATTTCTCTCTCTCGCTCGCTTAGTAATAAACCCACATCGGGCTAGGCGAAGCTATGTGGCCGAAAATTCGTGCCAGAAAAAAATCTGTATTTTAATTTTTAGCCCAACGATTTTTATGGCAATATACAGGGTTTTCTTTACTGGTGAAAATATCGAGGAACGGTTTATACCATCTGGAAGCTGCCTGATCAGCACTTCGGCAACGCCAAAAAAGTTCCTGTACTTAGTTATGGGGAAGAACTGTCTTCCTGTACGTTTTAGAGGGGAATGCAATATTGGCAACGGGTCTACATGCAACTGTGATATTATTATGTTCGGTTACAAAGAGAAATGTGACGAAGCGAAGAATGGGAATTTGGAACATGTAGAGTACATCCACCGATATGGCACAACTTGGAACTCAGGCAGGAACTACCTTTACGTATGGTTGCTAAAGCCATTCAAAATACAATAACGCACCAAAGCTACGTTAGCCCATCAATATTACGTTCACCGCTCAACATGGTCCGATATCAAACTTTACGTACGTAGCGTGCCGACGAGAAACCCCTACTCTACTTGCCAGTGAAAATCCTGTGGATTGTGTTATGTCATGTAGGTAAACTAAACGCATGTAATATTCCTGTCCGGTGACCGTATCGTATGGAATAAATTTCGTGCGTAATAATTACATATGTAAAATAACCTAGGTAATTATCAACACCTGTTTAAGTACGTAGGTAAAAGTTACGTAGGTAACTGTCAACACTCTTAAATATAATTATATAGGTAAAATTACCTACGTAATTGTCAACACTCTTAAATATAATTACATAGGTAAATTTACCTACGTAACTGTCAACGGGTGTAGTTAAAAGGCGGGCGCGGACTGGCGTACGCGGACCGGCGGACGCGGACTGGCGGACGCGGACTGGCGGACGCGGACTCGCGGACGCGGATCCGCGGACTGGCGGAAATTTTTTTTTTACCAATTTTTTAATTATTGGAAATAAATTTAATTATAAATAAATTAATATTAAAAAAAATATTAATATTATTATTAATAATAATTAACAATTATTTTCCGAAGGCGAGGTGATTATCGGTGAATAATTTATTCACGATGATCCCCAAGCCTGAGGTGAATAATTGTTTTAGTATAATTTCACAGGTGATTATTTGGGAAAAAATAAAAAATACACATTTCTTCGTCAGTTAATTGACAAAACGGCTTCGGCCGCCATTTCGAAAATCGCTTAGGTGCGTTATAATCACCTCAACGGCAACCAATCAGAGTGGAGAATTTTCAATAATCACCTAAGTAATTAATAATAATATTATATATTACATTAATAATATCATTTTTTCTCCTTCACATCATGCGACAACCGAATTCAATAATTGTTTAATAATCTCGTGTCACGCGTTGACACCGGAATTCGATTTATTCATACAGGATCAAATATTTTAAGGAAAGCGTCCAATCACATTGTATTCGACTTAGTGTGTACTTTAACTTTCGGTAACACTGTAATAGTATCATGGCGAACTACATAACAACTTTTAAGTGTATTCTATGAGTGTCAGTCTGTGTGCAGTCGATTGAAGACCGGAAAGAAAACTGATGCGCGATAAAACGCGGCTGTCAAAAGCATCACGATAATTTGGATATTGATGGTCGTGATGATTAAGATCTTACGAAAACCAGTTTTCCTTTCAGTGGCGTTGAGAATGCGGAGGATAGAATAGATACGAATAGAATATGTAAAGTTTTGAATAAAATATTGTAATTTTTAAACTACTGTTAACTATAATGCACAAGAGTGCATTGATCTGGAAGTGCAATGCTACCAATTAACTAAGAAAATATATAAGTTGAAGCCCTGTACCAATGTCCCAATCATTTGCAACTTTCGTCGTTTTTATACTTTGCCTACAGCTGTGTTTCTATACGGTAAACGCAACGCATAAACAGACTGATTACGTTTCTATGTTATTATGCTCGCAACGCATATTAGTCTGAATACACGTACTGACTTTCAAGTAACGTACAATTATCACCTTGAAGCTAGATACGAAACAGCTGGTTGGATTAAAACAAGGGTGTCATACTGAGCGCTCTCATGTTGGGAAAATATAGACAATACATAACGTAACAATGGTCCTTTAATAATTTTAAAACTAACAATACTGTATCAATAATCAGAAATTTATACATGGAAAACCGGAAAACAACTTGCGTTTTCGATAACTGTTGCATAAAGAACTTTCTATCCTCCGCACTCTCAACGCCACTGAAAGGAACACTGGTTTTCGTAAGATCTTAATCATCACGACCATCAATATCCAAATTATCGTGATGCTTTTGACAGCCGCGTTTTATCGCGCATCAGTTTTCTTTCCGGTCTTCAATCGACTGCACGCAGACTGACACTCACAGAATACACTTAAAAGTTGTTATGTAGTTCGCCATGATACTATTACAGTGTTACCGAAAGTTAAAGTACACACTAAGTCGAATACAATGTGATTGGACGCTTTCCTTAAAATATTTGATCCTGTATGAATAAATCGAATTCTGGTGTCAACGCGTGACACGAGATTATTAAACAATTATTGAATTCGG